AATATTATATCTTAATTTTTCTATGTGAATTATCTTGGTATATTACCTTATGTAATAAAAGGTTACAGAAATGAAAAAATGATGAATATATAATATCTGATATAGATATTAATGAAGAAATAAATTTAATATCATTACAGTCATAATTAATAATAGATTATTATTTTGTATCTATTTGTAATTTTGATATTGTTATGAAAGAAAATTTATTTTATGATGATATTTTAGAAAATCTATTAAATTCTAATTCTGGATTAAAAAAATATTTTAATATTTTATTAAAAGATTCTATTGAAATAACATAATATAAAGATAAATTTCTATTTACTGAACATAGAATAAATATGTATTTAGATTTAAATAATCAAGAAGTTTGTTTTTTAAAAAATTCTAAAAATATTGTTTTAAATATAGAAAAATATGGATTAGTTATTGTTCTTAAATATGATCATACATTATTTTTATTACGTAAAAAATATAATGAAATATTAAAAAATAATGACATACATCCAAATAATTTAGGATATCCTTTAGATTTTCAAAAAGAAAATACTGGTTATTCTATTTTAATTTCTGATTTTCTTTTAGAAGGATTATATCTTGATGTAGTTGATCCTAAAAAATTCTATCAAGCATTTGCTACAAGATTTATGAATAATAAAGAAAATAAAATTAATAATGAAAATATAAATAAACAAACAAAAAAAGAAGATGATAAAGATATTACAAGAAATACAAAACAAAAATCAGGAAATGATATGAAGCAAGATTAAAAAAAATCATTAAAAAAATTATAATATTTAAATAATTAAAATATAAATAATTAATTTAGAATATAAAAATATAATTAATTATTAAAAAATATGTAAAATAATTAATTTAGATATAAAAAGTTAATTAATAAAAAAAATAAATAAATTTTAAAATTTAAAAAAAAAATAAATATCAGCTTTTTTCATATTATTTTTTTTTAAAAAATGTTTTGTAATTATTTGAATTATCTAATTATAATTTTTTTATATACTAGTCAAAAAATTTTTACAAGATGAAAATGTAAAACTAAATAAATTAATTAAAATTGATTTATTAATTTCTTTATATACAAAAACAGAAAATATATTAAATAAAGAAATAAATAAAAAAGATTATAGTGGTAAATATTATAATATCAAATTTATCAAAATCTTAGATTATAGTTTAGAAGAACAAATTAATTTTTTTATTAATTTATTATTAATAAAAGAATTAGATAATAATGATATAAATAATATAAATTAAATAAATTAAATAAATTAGATAAATTAGATAAATTAGATAAATTAGAAATATTTTTTTTAATATTTATTATATGTATTTATTAAAAAAATAATATATATTTTTAATAAAAAATTAATAATTAAACTTTAATAATATTCTAGATTAAAAA